CATCATGCAACAGTAGTGGCATCAACTTTCTGACGTGGGCAAGAAAGACTCCGATCTCTTGTGTTCGATTCCCTTCGTCCCCTGTTCTCGGACAGGCACTCTCTTGAGCGTTTAGGGAGGGGTATATGATAGTCGTCTGCGCTCGTTCGTGTCCTCGATGCTCTACAAAGGGCTCCCGAACAAGTAGTCGTCCGCAATCTTCCCACGAGCCGATACCCCTGCCGTTAAACGACTGAACAGCGGGTATACGCAACGATCTCTGAAAACGATATCCTCCACCACGACTGCGGATTACGGAAGGAAAACATCCGGACAGGGACGTTCCTTGTCGCAAACACACAGCCCTGAGAAACATCGAGGGGCGCTCCCTTCTATGCCGATCTGGGATCCGATATCATCTCGAATTATGGAGCTCGCCAGTTCCGGGGAAACACGATACCTCCGACATGGGCCTATACGCCGAGCTAGGACTCGCAGTGCGTCGGGGAGCCCGTCTATTCTGAGCGATTCAAAAGTTCAGGCAGCTGTCCGAGGGAAGAGGAAAGTTCAAATGAAATGTTCGCCGAACCAATAATGACTCAGTCAGTCAGTCAGTCAGTCAGTCAGTCAGTCGGCCCGCGGTACAGTCGCCTCCACTTGTTGAATGGTCGGCCTTGCAACCACTTTGCAAGTGTAGTCATGGAATATGCACCAGCCACTAAAAGTTCTTAGAATGTCGCGTAATCCCATCAGCCTCTGTGTTACGTCTGGTTAACTAGCTGGTTCCTTACCAGCGAGAGGCCCGATTGCGTAGTCCGAGGGGAAGTACTTCGGAAGAAAACTCGGATTAGGGGGAACTCGCTGGCAACTTCCCCAGACTCTACAGCTCGAAGAGCCGGGGACAGGGATCTTCCGGGGGAAAATTCCCTCGGGTCACGGGAACCAAGCGCCTAAATTGCACCGTCGGTCGAGTACTCATACTTGTCGTGTAGAGGCTTGCGTTCCCGAATCCTGTTGGGCCTCGCCCTCGCCACCTTCGCTGGGGAAATCTTCATTGCGCCACCCTAGCGACCATTTCGAGAGAATATCGGAGTTCTGGGGCGGGAGGGTCCCGCATAACGTAGGGTTCGTCGTCGGCGGGTGGCTTCCTTCTCCTCCGCAACGAATGTCCACTTTCCTCATTCCCCCGTCTCGCTCGGCGCTGGCGATACATTGAATCTGCGATCCCTCTAATTACGACGATTATCACGCGACTGTATGTCCTTCCGCCGCTCCCCTTGTTTAGGTGGAAGTCGGTACTAGGTAAGCGGGAGTGGGGCCAATTAGAAGTTTCGCAGGCGCCCGCTGCGATTCTCAGGTCTGAGCGCTTTGGTGGGGGATTCTCACGGCGAGTTGCTGGAGAACTCGGTGTTCGTCTCCGAGAGATTACCCTCATCCAGACAGACGGTGGATTCGACTCGTACATCGAGCACGGAGAGCTGCTAGGATTGCTTCTAGGAAAATATCGAGGCTTCTCAGTAGGCGTTGACCGCATGCTCACAGACGTTCACCTTCATAAAGCTGCCAAACGATTCCCTCCCGAGTCCAGTCGTTTGACAAACAGAATTGCGGCGGAACGTTCCAATTGAATGATGAGATGATGGTGCGAGCAGAAAAAACGAGAGCAAGCATGGGAACCGGGAAGCATCGGACACTGATTCCGTAGCTGATTATTATTGAACGCGGGGTCACACAAGACGGGGCCATGTGATGATAGAAAAGCAATTCGTTCTTAAATGGGATCCGTATCGGGAGATAGAGGACACACGTCAGGAGGCCTGTCGGGGAGAGAGAACACCTCGGAAGTATTGAGCTCTGTTCGCGGACGATTCCTCACCGATTGAGAATTCATTGTCGGTTCAGTGATCTGATTCGTCAAGAGGAACTTGCAAGTCCGGGATCACGGGGGGAGACACCGTTGTCGCGAGTCATGGAGCTCCAATTCGATTTCAATTTGCAATTTCAGTCTCTTGCATCTGAGCGTATAAAGGGGGGGGGGAAAGGAGATACAAGGAGCAAGTAGGACTCGGGAGTTCAGGTCTAGGAGCTAGAAACTTCGGTCGGGAACGTAGCCTCGAATTTCCCGACTCTCGATGGCGGAAGACGCGGCACTGCAGCAAACACTGAATATATGTCTCCCCGCGGGTGAGCCATCCTCTCAACCGTGAGTGACTGCTCCGCTCGAGGATGGCACTTAAGCAGAATCCGATCATCTTCGGCGGAAAACATCTGACTATTTTCGATCGGATCTCTCGGACGGAGAACAAGTTTCATCGGACGACCCGGAAGAACGATGCACCCATAAGGCGGAGTCCTGAGGGATGATTCGTTTGGGTTAGCGGTTTCGATTACATATCCTTCCCGAATTATCAGTACGGGAATCCCTAACGGCGGTTTCTACCGGAAGCATAGTGTAAGGGCTCGATCAATTAATCACCTTTTCCTCGATTAGATAGCGCTCCGATTGTGCGAGAGAGAGAGATCGGGGAAAAGCGAATAAAAGAGAGTTGAGACGGTGAACTTTCAATAAAAGCTACATAAAATTCCGAAGGGACCCCTTAGTGCTAGGTACCGGAAAATCGATGGAGTGATCTTGTCATCAAGAGCTTCCGCGACATCCCCAGAGCGGGATCAATCTACGGACTTTGCTGCGAAGCCTGAGGCGCACCCTGCCGTCTTTCGTCGGAATCGAAACTCACCTATGCTTCCATCGAAAGGCCCCAGAAGGCGCCACTGGTCCGGACCTCAGCCATACGAGGAGCTCCCACCGGGTCGTTCAGCAAGGACTCAATGAGTCTTTCGTCCTGAACGCCAAGACCCGTCGGGAACTTTTTGGACATCGAACTTTCCCCTCGGAACAAGTTTACGGCAACCGCATCCCGCGCAGCCCCGTCAATAATAATGAAAGCCTTGGGGTTTGTAGAGGATCACGGGGGAATTCGGCGGCATCCATTACTGACGACCAGTCGGATTAGCTAAGATGGCCCTCACGATCAAACTTCTTAGTAATAATGACGGCAGCTTCTTAATTAGAGATCCGGACGACCATCCAGATTGTGGGTCGGCCATCCCCCTTCCGATAACCGCGAGGCCGATGACGAAGTCGAGAAAGTTCCAGATGAGTTGCGCAACCGATGAATGAGTTCTCGTATGGAGTTGCGCCGCCGATGAATGAGTTCTCGTATGGTATCGGGGACGTCGGGAGTAGAACGTCGCGAGAAAACTGCTCGAGGGGTGGGCACATCCGTTAGGAGGCTCGGGTCCGAGACGCCTCAGGAATTGGTCAGTACCCGCCTTGATATACGCGGTTACAACCGAAACTTGTACCTATCTGGCGGAACAATTTCTTCGCGGTCCAACGTCCTCGCTGGGACGTCCCAGCAAGGATTCCGGGGCTTCGGGGGAATTGGCGACGTCAGTCTGGAAAGGAAATCTTTAATCATCTCCACAAATATCGGCGAACGACGTCTGTCTGTCTTTCAAAGCATATTTGGTGATTTGCAGAACGGGGTCCGTGGCACGCCATCTCAAGCAGATCGAGTTCCCCTAAGAAACAACTTTCGTTATAAACAGCCATAGCCACTATAATCGAGCTCATTGTTTCCAGGTGATTCGACGAGTTCCGAGCTGAGCTTTCCAACCGGGATCAACGTAGTGACCAGTGATCAGTTCTTTTGCGTGTGATTCGTGGGACAGGTTCAGGATCTGACTGTAACAGGAGCCCGTCTGCCCCGATTCGACTTCAGAGTCAGTCGCCAGTTCTTCCGTACCCGGTCGTACTCCTGCTAGCCTGTCCGTCCGCTCGCTTGCGCGGAAGATGGAGGCCTCCGAAGTGGGATCAGAACTCAACGCCAGCAACCGGGCAGGCATCCCGCCACTGTAAACGGGAGGAGTTTATCAGCCGAAGAGCACGATGTGACATCGTGCGTCCCAACTAAATCATCATTAGCGGTAGACTTAGTTCCTCGGTACCGTACAGAACGCTTCCGCGGCCAGGAGCATCGGAACCGTTGTCGAGTAAATTTATGTACGTCTTCGTTGCCTTGAGTTTCGCATGAGTAAACTCGACAGGACGGACGCAAGCAAGTTAGGGAAGACTCCGCATCGGTGCAGTGAATGTTCTCAGAGGAGAGTCCTTCAACTTGACGATGTTTGGCAGGCGAAGAGAGAACCGAGCCCCGACTGCTCCGATGAAAGGCTCTTCCGCGCTCGCTCGGGCCCGAAGTACCGATGTAGCTCCTCGGACTTCTTGGTGTTGATTCTGAGCGGAGGAACATATACTCGATCCGTCACGACATGAACTCATGATTGTCGAACTCTCAGCGGACAGGAGTTGAAACGGCACTCCCGAGTGTCGATCCCGCGTCTCTGGGCTTCGCTTCTCGCAGGAAAATCAACGCAGATGATGGCGGAACATCGAGAGCTTTCCGAATTCATCTCAAATTATCTTCTATGGAGAGAATCTACAAAATTCATTGTGACTGCTCGCGGAAAGACCCGCTGAATACCGGACTTGAAACATGGTACAGTAGCGTCAAGCCTCCGGCGTCCTCCCAGAGATTCTGCGAAAGTGCGGAGCAAGGACTCCGTACGACCGACGTGCCTGCAGAGAATATTTTCGGAGAGTTTCTCCTCCCTGTGAACCATCGATCAATAGATCTTAGATCGCTCAATCTTTCGAAATGATTGGAGCCACTGGAAGTCGTCACTTAAACCGAAGACGGGCGTCATCGCCGAGCGTCACACCTATCCCGAGCGGATCGCGTCGCTTCAGTCTCGCGCCGCCCCAGGAAACTGATGAAACAAAACTTCGAGCTGGGTCGCTCGAAGTCATCGATCAAGGCGAACGTAGTCCTAGTCGGGAAGAGACTAGGTCTCCAAGAGAAGAGCTGAAAGATTCGAGACCCGACATCAGTGGGGCGGTCATGGACGAACCCTCGCCGGTCAGCTCCCGAAGAGCGACGCCACCAATACGCCTCTCGGTTCCGGATCTCCCACCGGGTATGACAGTAGGCCGGAGACGAGCCGTCAACACTCTGGACCATAAAACATGCGCTCTATTGCACTCTAAACTCAAAGGCATTCGACTGGAGGATGTGGCGTGAGTATTTTGAAGTATTTGATTTGTTTTGCCAGTTCCAGATCATCGTTAGCTGTGTGAGTCCCTATCCCAGGACTCCCGGGGAAAAGATTAGACCGTGGATCATCATCGATGAATTTTATATTTTCTCCGACAACTACCTCTCCCAGAGCCAAAAATTGCTCAGCACGGCGAAATCTGAGGTCGTTTTTCCACGGCTTGCGGGAGGCAAGGAATAGGCCAGAAATACTGATCTTTGGAGTTCGTTGACTATTTTCATGGAAACCCATAAGAAATACTGACTTCTAGACATCGAAATTCGTGAACTTGCTTGCCAATAGCCGGGACGCTCTAAAGGAGACAGAGCGGATGTCGGAAAATAATCGCCGCCCTCTCCGTGAGCGGATGTTTCTTTCAATTTCCGTCTGAGCATCGGAATCGGCTTGTGTCGAGACGTTGATGTAGGGTCGTGCCTGAAATTCGTTCCATCTCACAATTTCTTGCTGTTGTTGTGTTTCTCTTCAAAGCCCGGGAAAAAAAACGGATTCGGAGGCGGAATCCATTAGTTCCGCCTTCCCGGCTTTGCGTGGCGCGAGAATGCACGCGTGGCGCAAACATTTCTCGCAGTCCTGCTGCTTTCTCGTCGTGATGATGAACGGCTGAGAGGCAGACGAAGGAGCCCGTTGTTGAAGCTGTCGACGAGTCGCTCGGGATGCGGGTCTTGGAGATGTGATACTGATTGTGAGTGAGAGCGGAGACAGTTTCCGACTTCGATTCTTACACTAAAACACTCACTAGAGTCGAAAGTCGGATGCGTCGCCGGCTTTGTTGGATCATCTACTTGGACAATGTTCGGAGATTTTGTGTCGATATCGCACCCGTGCCTCGGTCCGGAATGCGGTCGCAAGCTGCCACCGCCCCTCACCATCGAGGAATCACCAGCGGCGAATCGCGAAATCCCCAGCCTGACAAGCTCCCGCGAAGCATGAGCTAGACTGCTGCTGCTACGGACCAGAGTAAAGCGCCGCCGCAGCCGCTACGCATGCCGAACTTGTCCGAACTTTTGAGCTTAGTGAGCGTTCAAAAAAACAATTAGGTATTTTCAATATACTCCTCTTTACGATCGAGACTACAGCCACGAGAGATCGACTTCAATATCCGACAGTCATCTTCGAGAACATCCCTCCGAAAATATGCTGAGGCGCCCGAATCTATTCCCGGTGATGAGTCGAGGCTCACTACGTCTCGGACAGTCACTGAGTGAGCTACGGCTCCTGAGTAAACCCGGCCCAAGTTATTTCAGCCTCGAACACTTTTCCCTCCGATGATGGGAGACGGCTTTCCGCCGGATGTACGAACCAGGAATTCCTGCCAATTGCTTGTTCCGCCCGCGAGGTCGAGTCAGCAATGTGTCCGTCTAGAGCTCATTGGTTACCGCAATCGAGAAGTCGAGAAGTCGCTGCTTGCAGAATCATCAAGTAGATAGAAAACAAACAGATCGCAGATAGAAATTCCTCGAGCCTCGAGCAGAGCTTCCGAGGAATCCCAATGACTGAGCGTTTCCACGGCAGAGTCGGCGGCGGCACCACCGCCAGCTCTCTGAGTTTACGATTTTTGTAAACATGGGTCGGGTCGTGTTTTACGAGGAACATCTACACGAGCCACCACAACAACAGGAGCAACAACGACGCCGGTAAGGGTAGCAGGTTTTTCGGCGACGACAACAAGCGCTTCGGCAACATTGGTGGCACGGGGCGGTTTCAAGAAGCTGAGCGTGATACTCGGCCAATTTCTTCTAGTCGTCGTCGATCGAGCGTGGCAGAGGAACGAGGGAAGCGAGACTGTTGTCAGAGAACGGACTGGCTTGAACGAGCGAAGGCAAATAACGATTCCGGTGGCTTTGAGTTGAACCCGACTGCGTTGACAGAGATACTGTTTTTCCAAGAGAGAACGCAATGCACACGGTGTTTCTTCTCGAAGCCAGTGAGTCTCACAGTGAACGACGTTTCAGATGAGCTCAAGGAGATTCGGTGGAGTAAAGACGCTCGGAGAGCGCTCGCCGACAGTCTCACGATACCAAATTGGCAGGCGATAGTCTCTGAATGAATGCCGAATTCTAGGCCGAGCTTTCTCTACAATATGGCTGCCGGCACACCGAAGCTTCCAGCTCTTCCGGAAGCATAGGAATGAGGAGAAATGAAAATATTACCACTCGAGCCTCAGGAAGGGCCATTTTCGCTTGGCCTCTCAAATTATTTGCAATGGACTTCGCTGGAGTGAGATCTGAATCGGGGATAGGGTCAGGACTGCTGATGCTATGGAATGCCCGAGTGAGTCCTGAGAGTATTGTCCGTCCAAATTCCCGAGCCTTTGAAGTTTTTCTCCGAAGAACCCAGGCCGGGATCCAAGCTCTATGCCGCGATGAGGAAGGACAATGCACAGCTTAACACCTACGCAACCCGGACTGAGGGTGCCGCTCTAAAAACCCGTCTGACGTGCTTGATTAATTGTTTTCGATAAATGTACGCCGGGACTCCGTGCACCGTCTCACCGGAATCTCCCCAGCGGGTTGCATTAACGCAGTGTCTCCGATCGGCTTGCTAAATAGAAGAGAAAGCCTCGGTCGATTTTCCTCGAATGCACACCCTCTTACCCGGCGTCCCTGCCCGACCGAAACTGAGCTGACATTTACATAACGGCTCCCTACCTCCCCTTGCTAACAATCGATGGAGAATTACATAAGCAAGAGAATAACGGCCTAGATGATATCGCGTATCGGCCCTGAGTAGAGAATTGCTCAGGACCCTGACTCTGGATCGTGAGTCGAATCAGAGGCTGTCCGATAAATGTTGAGAAAACCCAATACGCTCCATACGAAGAACTCCTCCGGCGGGATCGCACCACCCCAGTCCTCTCGCACAGATAAGGTCTCCGAAGCGGACTTAAATCGAATGTTCGGTCCGGATATCTGCGAACGGACGAGGGATCTGGCTCTGACGTTGTCCGCCTGATCAAAATTCGCACCTGAATTGTGGAACGTCAGCAGGAAACCGACAGGGAACGGGAGGAAGGCGGACGGTCAGACGGAGCGGCACGAAGGCGGCCCGTCAGCTAGCCTGCTCTGGCTCCTAATCAGAAAGTCCAACTTTGCCATCGAGAGTGCCGTGCGAGGGAGCGTCTTCCCTCCTTGAGACGGAAACGATCCATGGCGTTGAGAAATGTTCAGCTGGAGCGCATCCAGAGATCCTCTTGCCATAGGTTCCTCCCCTCGGCGAGTGACTTCGTCGAGCTTCGGAGTTTCGCTTCTGTATTGAAGGTGCCTCCATGGGAAATTCCTCCGGGTCGCGCTCGTCCTCGCTCGCGACGTCGCCGGCAATCAGCCGGTGCTCCATGTGACGGCTTCCGTCTTCGTGGAGTCGACAAACTCCCAGCGACACGGCATGGAACCTCCGAGTTCCACCACCAGTTGCTTCGAAGTCTCATATAGAGGGCGCTAGCTGCCCTCGATCGTGGAGAGGGCTGTGCACAGGTGACTTCAGTCAAAAGTTTGCAGCCATGGCCAGCGCTCTCTAGGCAGTTGCAAGCTACTTTGTAGACGAGTTGTCCCTCGTAGCCGGTTATCCTTGTGTCGAGGAGGTAGTGTTATATAATCGCGAAAAAATCTTCCTTCTATTCGAACGAGTCGGAGAAAGAGGAGGGGATGAAGCTTTGCGCTTTCTTATCACCGACAAAGTCCTGAGTTCTGTATCTCATGTTTCTTTGTGTCCACTTCGCGATGAGCCCTTCTTGAGCGCCCCGATGAGCGAAGATAATCCGGAAGTTCTAGCGACGGTGTCTTCGCTGAATGAAGCGATGCTCGAGGATACCTGTACCGGAGGTGCGAAGTGCCAACGAGGACCGACGAGTGCAGATTCCAGCGCAACAATGTCGACAAAAAATACGGTGGTCCTTTCGCGGTCTTAGCGCGACAACAACAACAACCTTCCATCAGGAGCGACCGACTACCGACTACGTACCGACCGATCCTGCGCCGGACTTCGGAAAGTTGTTCCACGCGTCAAACTCAGAAAGGTGCGAACGTAGACTTTCGCAGTGCGGGCGACGCTTTCCCGAAACCGCGAACCTCGAAATCACCGCTCCAAGATCCTGCTGGTGTCGCTACCGTAGGAATTACCTCAGAAGCCCACGTAGTCGCATGACTATCAACGGATACTCGAATAGGATGTTCTTCATCGTGTAGTGCAGACTCTCATAGCCGCTTAACCGACCGCCATGTGTGTTCCGTGGAACGTTCAGGGCGATCGGCCGAGCAGGCGAATGTGTGACTAAGAAATTGATGAAGCAGGAAGAATAGCCCAACCTGAGCCCCATAGGAAGCTTCGGGGTCAAGTAGCAAAATGCTGCCTGTTCGCTCATACAGCGTGCGTCTGAAGCGTCGCAACATGGAGTCAGGGGCGTCCATGCGCAAAAGCGTCTATCGACGGCGTCTTCTCGCGAAAAGCGGCGCCGCAGATGAGCCAGGGACGCCAATGACTCCAACTCGGAGGACCTTCGGAACTCCGAAGACCGAGGGCTCTTCAGCACCGCCCAGACGCCAATTCGGCTCTGTGAAATCCCGAACTGACAGCCCCGTCGCCCCCACGTCAAATTCACCAACTCCTGTAAAGGTCAACTTGACGCCAGCCGCCGGAGAAGCCCCGAAAAACGCGAGCGTCGGCAGCTTCGCTCTGTCTACGGATAGAGCGATTTCGGAGGGTGCGGTTCCAGGTTCTTCTCAGCACCGAAACGTGGGTCTACTGGACGTTTCCCTCGAACCGGCTGATGCGATCCCTGAAGCAGAAGATGCGGAAGAAAGAGAGGAAGGAGAAGTTGGTGGGGGGAGGAGAGCCGACGGCGGAACGTTTCATACGCCGCAGCGTCACCAACTCCGCCAAGAAAATCAAGCTCTCAATCCGTCGTACCATCCGCGTAGTCGAGATGACGGCGGACCGGAAGACGGTCGCGCGCCATCCGCGGGAAAA